GTCTTATTAACAGTATTTTTTATTGTCTACATTGTTTCTGTATATTAACATATAAAATTCAACATTTAAATTTAGCAATGATTTATGATCAAGAATCAGATCTTCATTTTAAACATTAAATTGAAATTTTAGGTAGCATAATTTATAGAATATTAGTGAGGTAATTAAACTAGATTTAGTGGAATCTACCATAGGAAATATTTTCTGTAAATTTATCAGCATTGGTATAATTCTGATGATGTTATTTGTATTAGCATTCATAGAGTCAATTGACTGATGTTAACCACTGATATTTTCTTAAAGCAGTTTTGCTGGGGGTTTGGGGGTGTGTGTGTAGGTTTAACGCAAGTGGAGAATTCTAAATATCAACTAGTAATCTAGATTTCTGTATTTATCATGATTGTGTTTCTTCATTTTTTTTTATAACTCACATTTCATCTTTTCCTGAATGTTTCTTACAGGAATGATTCCTCCTAAGCCATTATTGAGGAGAGACCAGATGGAAGGGTCACCCAACAGTTCTGAATCATTTGAGCATATAGCTCGATCCACGAGAGACCATGCCATTTCCCTCTCTGAGCCTCGTATGATGTGGGGGTCAGATCCCTATCCACATGCTGAGCCTCAACAGGCAACTACTCCTAAGATAACCGAAGAATCTGAGGATGTAAGGTAATAGATTATTAACATTATTCATAAGCTAAGTAAAATACGGTGATGAAAACTGTGTACCCTTATACCCTTGAAGAGCACTTTGATTTAGGACTGAGCCATAAATCTGATTTCATTCTGGTGTGCTTCGTTTTATTTTTGAATCTTCTTTTTTCCTACGTTTCTGAATTGAATGGGATATTTTTTAGCCCAATTTTGTGAACTGAATTAAATGCTGAAATTTGATGCTCAGTTTGAAAACCTGGCATGGTAATAATGTAGATTGTTGTTGTTGTTAAGTGCCATCAAGTCGGTTCCGACCCATAGCGACCCTGTACAGGGTTTCCGAGGGTGTAAATCTTTACGGGAGTAGAA